GAGATGATGCCACACACTGAGATGATGCCATACACTGAGATGACATCACACACTGAGATGCCACACACTGAGATGATGCCACACACTGAGATGATACCACACACTGAGATGCTGCCACACACTGAGATGCTGCCACACAATGAGATGATGCAACACACTGAGATGCCACACACCGAGATGATGCCACACACCGAGATGATGCCACACACTGAGGTGCCACACACTGAGATGATGCCACACACTGAGATGATGCCACACATCGAGATGATACCACACACTGAGATGATACCACACACCGAGGTGCCACACACTGTTATGATGCCACACACTGAGGTGCCACACCCTGAGAAGATGCCACACACTGAGATGCCACACACTCAGCATTCTCAATCACTCACTGTGAAAATGAAAACCCAGCTGGTGTCTAGAAACTACAGATGGTGAGGTGGAGGCTGAGTGACCACTGTGTGTCCCCAAGGAAGTCAGTTGTCTTCTCCGAGCTTCAGTTTTCAATTCCATAGAATAATTATTATCATTTCACCCCCAAGCCCTGGTTGTTTGTATTTCACCTTACAAACTCTTTGCCACGGCATTTACTAATTTCCCAAGAGGTCACACACCCATTTTACCAGCATGCAGCGTTATGTAAAATAGCACCAGATCTGGGCTCTGCTTTGTTCTCCAGTGAGAATTAAACAGGTTTTATTTTGCCACCTCCAAATCCCACTGCCAGTGACACCAGCACCAGGGGCATGCCATTCGGCCCAGCTCAATTTCAGATGGAGAAAATGAAGTCAGATTTGAAGTATCACTTAAAAGAAACCCTGGCCCCATATCCCAGCTAGAACAAGCCCCATAAGGCCATCTGAGGTCTGATGCAGGTGACCCTCCATTTCTAGGATTTCAGCCTCATTTTTCTCTTCTCCCTTACTGTACTGCAGCCACGTTCTACTCCGTGCTCTAGTTAGAATACCTTGGGCGTTCCTGCCTTCGGGCACGGCTCTCACTGTCCTCTCTACCTGGAAGACTATATTTGGGGAGGTCAAGTCCTCAGGACATTCCAGTTCCACTTAATGTCACTTCCTCATAGATTCCTTTCTCAGCTACTCTGCCTAAAGTATCTACACATGCCACACCACACCATACACAGACACACAGACATACAGACACACGCACACATACATACACACATACACATTCACACCATGCCATACACACACCACACATATACATTCATACCACATGCATTATATTATTACACATACACACCATACACACTCACACTATAACCACACACACTTAATACACACACACACACACACACACACACACACACACACACACACACAACACAATCACCCAGCTTGTTTCTTTCCTGCTCACCCTTTGACCCTGCAGAGTTCTCTTCCACACTCTGAGGCTACATTTTCTTAGCTAAGGAATGGCAGTTCCATGGTTTGAGGGATATGAATAAAGGCCATCCATTGCTTATCCTCCATCTTCCTCCTCCTGCTTTTTATTTATTTGGGTACAGGCTCTTATGTAGCCCAGGTTGGCCTTGAACTCACTTCACAGCTGAGGATGACCTTGAACTCCTGATCCTCCTGCCTTCACCTGTGCTGGAATGGAGCTGAAGATTTGGCTCCTCCCAGGCCAGCTCTGCCATCTACAGCCCGCCTTCCTGTTCAGCCAGTGCTTTTTAAAAGAAATACTTTTATTTATTGCTCGACAATTGCACACTAATAAACAGTGTATCTTGAGTCTATCCACCCCACGGCCCCTTTCCGCACACACCCCGCGCCCCAACAGGACCTTGACCTCTCCCTTTCTATTATTATTTATTACTGCCGACTCTGTGAGTCCAGTCAGCGCTGGTGTTGGAATGCTGCCCTAGCTTTGCTGAGCCCACACCGCATGCTCTGGGCTCAAAGAGACGACGGGCAGTCTGCCCCAGCCGGGCTCCCCGTCGTCCTTGAGGCTATCAGTATGTGGGAACGTGAGCTAGAGAAACTCAGCTCCAACCGTGGCCAACATGGGGCAGGACCAGGCCGAAGGAGGGCGGCAGGGAAGACTTCTTGGGGACTAGATCGACTTTGTCCACAAAGCAGCAGGCTTGCTGTCCCCTTGCCAGAGGGCATACAGAGGTGACCCTGAATGCTAGATGAGCCGCTTTCAGAGAATTCCTGCAGAAGGCAGTCCGGGTGGTGCATCCCTCTGCCTGCCTCAGATTTATTGCCCGTGACTAGGCCCTACCTCAGCCATTAAAACCAAAAGCGGTCGGAGTTTCCCCAGCACATTCAGCATGCTGCGGGCTAGCTCCTTAACCCTCTCAGGGCACATTAAGCTCTGCTTCCTGACCTTAGCTGTCTTTATGATCCTGGCTCACACTTCCCCAGGTAACCAACCGGTGGTGAGAAGGGGGAAGGGAGAGTTAGAACCTACCCACAGGGTAGGGGCTGCTGAGGTCTGGCAACAGAGAGCCACACCGTGCCTGTGTCTCTGGGACTGGGAGGCAGCTTGGTGGTAGAGTTGCTTGGGGAACATGCGTCAGGCTCTGAGTTCAACCTCCAGTGCTGGGAGGAAGGAGGAGAGGGAGGGAAGAGAGGATGGATGGTGGGAGGGAGGAGAAAAGGAGGGGGAAGGAGAGGAGGGAGGGAAGAAGGGAGGGAGGGAGTGAGGAGGAAAGGAAGGAAGGAAAAAAGAAAGAGGAAGAGGGAGGGAACAGAGGAGGGAAAAGGGGAGCAGAGGGAGGAGAGGAGGGGAGGAAGGCAGGGAGGAGGGAATAGAGGGAGGAGGGAGAAGAGAAGAGAGAGGGGGAGGGCAGAGGGCAGAGGGTGGAGATGTGCTTTCCCATGGGCTGCCTGTGGCCACAGTGATGCTTCTTTTGGAAGACTGGAAAATGCAAGCAGAGAGAAAGCAACAGCCTTGACAAAGGTTGCCCCGCCCCGCCCCGCCCCGCCTGCTCACCACCACATCAGTGCCTCTGCTCCCAATATCTCCTGTCTGATCCCAGTCTCTCACTTCAGTCCCCTCCACCGGTACCATGCTTTACAGTAAGCCGGTGTATTTACTTCACCTCTCCCTTGAAGCAAGCAGAGGAGGCATCTTGTTCTTAGACTATGTGATGGGAAATGTGTGGGTGGATGTTGGGTAACTACAGGTTCCTAGTAGGCATGGAGCTGCTTTCAGAGCAGGAGAGTCTGGATTTGAAATTGAACATGTGTACAGTAGCCACAGATCATCAGAGTCTTCCTTCATCACTCTCCACATAATGATAATGTTATTACTAATAATTATTTGGGTTAGCGTCTCACTATATGGCCCTGGTTGTCCTGGAATTCACTGTCCTTGAACTCAGAGATCCACCTGCCTCTGCCTTCCAAATTTTGGGATTAAAGGCATGGACCACCATGCCTGGTATCACTTTATTTGTTTGTTTGTTTGTTTATTTATTTATTTTGAGACAGCACTCTCTCTAAACCTGGAACTCAGAGACTGGCTAGACTGGCTGGCCAGTGAGCCCCAGGAATCTGTTTCCACTCCCCCGGCAATGGGGTCACAGATGTGTGCTGCTGTGTCCAACTTCAGTGTGGTCACTGGCCACCCAAACTTACGTTCTTAGGCTTCTGAACAAGGGCTTCACCCACCGGGGCCTCTCCCCAGCCCAGGTTTATGCTTTTCAGTTGCATCATCTGCTGTTGGGTCAACTTTGCAAGGTGAAGGTCTTTGTCAATCATTCAATGGTTTTTCTAGAGAAAAGGGGGAGGGGAGGAAGAAAAAGCCCATTCTTGGTTAACACCGATTGGAAACTGGGTTAAATTCTGGAGAGAGCAATGAGGGCAGAGGACGGTGCTGTAGTTATGAGACATTTCAGAGAAAGCCAGCACGTGGGCTCATGGGATACTGACGTGGGAAAGTAGATGGATATGAACTTTTGTTTTCAAGTTTGAGTGTCCTGGTGAGAGAGAGCTCCAACTTACTTCCCAGGAGAGGAATTGGGTAAAGACAAGTAGAGAGAATTTGTGGTTTACACTGGGAGAGGGGATATCAACACTCACTGAACGCACCGTTCTCACGGGCCTGCCAACATCCTCAGTATATACAAGCGCATCCTCTTCACATGGTTCAGGATTCCTCTCTGCTCATTTTGATAGAGGGATGGCTCAAAACGTGCTTTTATGGACTGGGCAAATGCAGACGTGAATGCCGGTCAAATGAGAAGAAGAAAGAGATATGTGGGGATTCCACGATTTGCTGTCTTCACATATCAAAGTCAAAACTATCCAACATACCTCTGAGCAACACACGGAAAAAGAATGGTACGTATCCATTTCAGTCTTCCAGCTCCAGAGTTTCAACAGTCACCATGACAAATCAGTGACACATGTAACAGCTATGCTAATCTTCAGTGCCGGGCCTTCAGAGGGTTCATTAATCAATGTTCGTTGCACTGAGTCTGAGGTACAGATTTGTGACAGGGCATAGATGTAAGCAAGCACTTAGTGCTGGATTTGACCCCAGCACTGAGGGAAAGGCATCCATTCCAGCTATCAATCCATCCTCCAGCAACTTTCGGGCTTGGTTAACATGACCAATAATATCAGTTGATAATATTGGTTCCTGCAGCATAAGAACTTGATGGCATCTAATTCCTGTATCCCTGGACCTCTGAGCAGAAGCTTCTGGGCCCCTGAAAGTTTCCAGGTGAATGTAAATTGCACCTTGGCTGCAGATTCTTACTTGTTGTCTCATCCTAGAGAGACAGGATAGGCCAATAGGCTCCAGAAGGTCTCCTCTTGCCTCTTTAGCTTAACGTTTTGCTCCAGGCTTTGCTTTATGGACTTTCAGAATTGATTGCTTACCCTCAAGTCCCCAAATCCCTAATCACAGAGGACTGTCCAAAGACAGTCATGTCCAATGACCAAGAGGCGACTACTCCTACCCCAAGAAGACAGGAGACAAAAACAGTAAAATCAACAAACAAACAGCTCAGCCTGTGCCAAAATTTTACTATGTGCAAGGAATAAATAAATACGACGCCCCTTTGCCACAAGGGGCAGTGGAGTTTCCTGGTTTGGAGGGGCTAACCCTATGTGGCGCAGACAGTCCTTCCAGTTACTAGTGTACTTTTTCATCAGTTTACGTCAGTTGTCCCTGACTCCACTGTAACCCTACAAGGTGAACTTGACAGGGTGTCCTTGGATGTCCAGAGGGTGCAGTTGGCAGCCATGACACTCTGAGTGCACTTGCTCTTGCTCTTAGAAGATACAGGCTTGGGCCTGGTTAGTACTCGAATGGCGGAGTGAGCTAGAAACTGCATCTTGGGTTGTCCAACTCAAGAGTTGCAGTGGTGTTATCCCAGGTAGGGAAGTGGGGTGGGTTCCCCAAGACACCAAGAAAACAGAGTTGTCCTGTGAGGTGGAGGCCTTATTGAAATCACTGACAGGGTGAGTTCAGTAGCAATGAACAGGGCAGATAACCCTGCCAGAGTCCAGTGACAGCAGGATGGGCAGTTGGTGCACAGAGAGGAGTTTCCTGGGTCAGCATGTACAAGCCTTGGACCATTCCTTGCCTCTGTTCATTGTGTCCAGACTCCAGGGATGTATAGAACACTTGCATGCTTGGTTTCCAGGGTTCTTGTGGGGTGTTAATGCCCCAGTCTTGTCCTATCCTGAGTGTCCTTCTATCCTTGGGGGAAAAAAGATTTTTTGGACCCATGTCATTGGGTGTCCTACTTTTCCTAAGGAGCACACGCTGTATCGACATGTCTCCAGACTCACAGGTACATACAAGTGAGGAGGGTGCAGAGGAAATCTGAATGCATCAATAGGGTAGACTGAGCCCCTTTACCAACTGTGGCTTCCACTCATCTCTGAAATGGAAGTAAAATGAGATTGTTAGGGTGGGCCCTGATGCTGTATGATCAGTGTTCTTGTGAGAGAAGATTCAGACCTAATTATGTGCAAATAATTATGACACACAGAGTCTTGTTAAGATCCAGGAAGATCCAAGGCATCAGCAAGCCCAGGAGAGATGCTGAAGAGAACCAGCTCTACTGATGTTTGGACTTTGTCCCCCGAATTGTGAGAAAATAAACTTCTGTTGTTCAAGTCACCCAGTCTGTGGTACTTTTTAATGATAGTCCTGGTAAATAAGTGCAAACAGACTAGGACCTTGGTGTCCTAAATGTTGCCCCCAAATCCAGATCTGAAACTGTCAAAGGTGGGGCTGGGGAGGCATCTCAGCTGGTGAAACCCTCGCTGTGTGAGGCGGAGGGCTCACATTTGATCCTCAGAACTCACCCAGAAAAGCTGGACGCTTCCAACCCGGGTGTTGGAGAGCAGGAACGGGAGCTGCACTGGCTGGCAAGCCTCACCTACTTGTTGAGTTCCAGGCTAGTGGGGGACTTGTCTCAAAAAAGAAACAGAAGGTGGCCTGCATCAGGATTTTTCTTTTGAGCCACCAACCAGCTCCCAAATCATGACATGAAGACTTATTAGTTATGAATGCTCTGCCTAGCTTAGGCTTGATCATGGGTAGCTTGTTTAACTTAAATTAACCTGTTTCTCTTTACCTACCTTTTGCCTTCTCTTTCTGTATGTCTTACTCTGTGTTGGCTGGCTGGCGGCTGCCTGCCTAGCCCTGGGCTTGAGTCTAGATTCCTCCTCCTATTTATTCTCTCAGCCTGCCAGCCCTGCCTATCCTTCTCCTGCCTAGCTATTGGCCATTCATCTTTTTATTAGACCAATCAGGTGTTTTATGCAGGCAAGGTGAAACAAATGCAACACATCTTTTTATAATTAAACAAATGCAGCATAAACAAATGTAACACATCCTTACATCACTAATCAAATGCAGCAGAAACAAGTGTAACACACCTTTACACAGTTAAATATTCCACAGCATAAACAAATGTAATACATCTTTATATAGTTAAATTTCCACAACATTTCCCCCTTTTGTCTAAATAAAAAGGAATTTTAATTTTAACATAGTAAAACTATATTCAATAAGAAAAATTATCAAGCAAGAATTACATTCACAATCTGGTCCATTTGTATTTGGCAAAATCAAAGAAAATATTCCATTATTTATCCTATCTTGGTGAGTCCAAAGTTTTGTACCTAATTTGCCTTCTATCATAACTAAGGAAAACTATAACTATAACTAACTAGTCTTCAACTCCATCAAAAATCCCAGAAGGATATATTACCTGAGTAAACAGGAAGTACAGTGCAATCCACTTACAAACCTACAGAAGTAACAGGCATCTGGCTGCTTGGGTAGTCACCCAAGGTTCCTCTGCAATTTTGGGGCATCCAATCTTCAGCCTATAGGCCTAGAATATTTGGGAAACTTTTCTATGAAGCAGGAATTTTGAAGGACTGTCCTGTCTTGTTTTGCCAAAGTTTGGCAGTCTTTTTCCTTTGTGTCTTGCTTGTTCAGACTGTACAGCTTACTGTCAGCAGTCAAGGCAAAAGCAGTTTTGTTGCCCGGTGGCTAACTTTGCCATATTGAAAGCAAACTCCATACAGAATTTCTCTGAAGGCCAGTATCTTCTCTGAAATAAATTGGTGCTGCCAGGAGCAGATGTGTCTCACTGAAATGAAAAGCCTTAGGTTATTAAACATCTCAAATGCCTATTCTATAGGTCTTTGAAGTATTTGAAGACCATCTGTCTATCTAAATATATCTGTTTAACCTTGAAAACATACCTTATATGACTACAAGTTTGATTATTATAGATGACAAACTACCAAACTCCATTTCTTAATTATACATTACTTTTTAAAAATTAGCTAAATAAGCACAATAACCCAACAAAGTATAAAAAACATACATTCAGTATATCAAAAAAACCTTTAAGTTTGTATCAATATACCAAAGTCTATATCAATGTAAAATATTTGAGGTTAATAGTTGTCTTTTTTATCCCATGTTCCTATATCCCCCTTAAATGATGACAAACATCCATAACCCATTGAATGACCAAAAATCACCCACCCAACCACTTGGTAATGTGGATGTTGAATTCTCTAGACTGCTTCCTGCTGTCTGGGGGTGATGACATCTTTAGGGGACTCTGAGAAAATTGAGATAATGGTCAAGTCCTGGGAGAGCTAGCCATAACATTTGTTGTCCAGTCTCTGTGCAATGTGAAAATGTAAGGTTTATCTGTGGTCCTGGCTAGAATAGTCTGTGAGGCTCGACCATCTCAGCCAGCAGCCTTGAAGATGTTCTGGATGCAGAACTCTGAGGAAACTGCAACAGAGGCACTCTGAGAGACTGGATCACATGGGTTACCGGTTTTCATTGGTGTCTGGTCCTCTTGCTCTGCAAACACACAAACTTCTAAAGGTAACATACATATCTGCATTAACACAAGTATAGACTGGGTGTTGTACACAAGTCAGTCAAAGATGCAATACATTTTCTGGCTTCCATTTTGAAGTTAAGGCATTCCTAAAGTATCTAGGCTGGTTTAATTCACCAGTCCCTGTTACAGTCCTCATGTCTCTCAGCAGCTGTTGTTCACTCATCAGCATTCAAAAAATTCAAAGTCAATACAACCCCACACAGGATCCAGACTCCCTGTGTATTTCTCATCTTTAGATGGCTTATCCTTTTTCATGTTACTTAACTCTTTCTTTAAAGACTTTAATATTCTTAAACTATTTATTTTTTCTATGGCTGTCTATACTCTTTTTCTTTTCCTTTTTAAGCCCATGCATGTTTTTGAACACAGTGGAGCCTGTTTAGAGGCCTTTTCCATCCAGGCCTGTCTTTACTAAGTACCTGCAGCTGCATACTTGCAGTGTTCTCTGGTGTTTTAGCCAAATGTTCAACTGCTAAGCAGCTTTGCTCTGGCTGCTGTGGCAACTGGCGTGGGTCCTTGAAAGACGAGCTCTATGCCCACTGGACCTGGCTGGCAGCTGTTTTTTAACTGGGAACTGCATTCAACTGCCCCAGCTCTAGGAAGCTGCTATTTTTTACTTAGCTTTTTGTTTCTACTTAGCATGTCAGCCGCTCAAGGGCTCTGTATGGCAGAGCCCCTCAAAGGAGCCATATCCATCCCCCCCTTCTCTCTTTTCCTCTTTTTCCCCTCAGCTTTCTCAGACCTTACATGGAAATATGGCCCCCATGTTGGAATGCCAAATGTACCAGGCTTTTTCTTTTGATCTACCAACCAGATGCCAAATCATGACATGGAGGCTTCTTCTTAGTTATGAATGCTCAGCCTAGCTTAGGCTCAATTCTGCTTAGCTCTTTTAACTTAAATTAAACTGTTTCCCTTTATCTACATTTTACCTCAGGGCTTTTTACCTTTTCTTTCTTCTGCATATCTTATTTCTGCTGTCTCTATGTCTGGCTGGCCCTGGGCATGTCACCCTCTTTCTCCCTTGTTCCCATTTTCTTCTCCTTCTCTTCCTCCTCCTTCTCTCTCTCTCAAGCCTAGATTCCTTCTCCTATTTATTCTCTCAGCCTACTAGTCCTGCCTACCCTTCTCCTGCCTAGCTATTGGCCATTCAATTTTTTATTAGACCAATCGGGTGCCTTAGGCAGGCACGGTGAAACAAATGCAACACATCTTTTTATAATTAAACAAATGCAGCATAAACAAATGTAACACACCTTTACACGGTTAAAGTAATATTCCCCAGCAGAAACAAATGTAACACACCTTTACACCGGTTAAAGCGATTTCCACAACAGTGGCTGGCACCTCATCAACAGCACTGCTCTAGTTTACGTTCTGCTGCTCCAATAAACACGGGTAACTCAGAGCAATGTGTGGGGAAAGAGTGCTTTTGGTTTTCAGATTACAGAACACTGCTAAGGGAAGTAGGAACTCAAGGCAGGAACTGGAGAAGGAAGCATGAAGGAATGAAGCTTGCAGGCTCCCTTTCAGCTACCCAGGTCTTGAGTTTAACTGCATCGGCACTCCTCATCCCTAACCCTGAACAGCACACCTCATAAAACCACCTTACAGTTTCATTTACAAACAGACAGAAAGAATCAGGAAATAATCTGGGCCAGGGAGTTGGCTCAATGGGTCAAGTCCTTGCTATTTAAACATGAAGACCTGAGTTCAGATCCCCAATATTCATATTAAATCTGGGTGTGGTGACACATGAATGCCACCCAGCATTGGGAAGGTGGAGGTAAGTGACTCCTCAGGCCTGGCTGATCAGGCCATCTAACTGAAACAGCCAGCACAAGGTTCAACGAGAGACTTTGTCTCAAAACTAAGATGGGGGATGATTGAAGGTTGAGAGGTTACTTACTAGATCACACGCCTCACAAG